TTTTTTTTTTTTATTTTAGAGAGAAAGAGTGAGAGCAGGGGAGAGGGACAGAGGGAGAGAGAGAATCCCAAGCAGTCTCCACACTCAGCATGGAGCCCGACACAGGACTCCAGTGTGCTGAAAATAAATAATTTTTAAATTTAATTTTGTTTAAATAGCCCACTAAAACAACATTATTAGTTTGCATTTCAGTCTTTTATCTTGATAGTAAGTTTTCACATCTATACTAATATAAATCATTAAAATGCTTTAATGGGAACATCTCAGCAGAATATCAGTAAGGAAAGAGAAGACATGAACACCAGACACCAATGAGACCTACTAGACATACATAGAACATTTCCAACAACGGAAACAAAATACACAATCCTCTCACATATACATGAAGCATTCTCTAGGGGAGCCCATATATTTGGCCATAATAAGGCCTCATTAAATTTAAAAAGACAGCAATCATACAAATTATGTTCTCAGACAACAATGAATTTAAATTAGAAAGCAATAACAAGAGGAAATTTGGTAAATTCACAAATATGTGGAAATTAAACAACACATTCTTAAGTAACCAAGGGGTCAAAGAAGAAATCACAAGAGAAATTAGGAAACACTTTCAGATAAATGAAAATGAAAACACAACATACCAAACCTTCTAGAATTCAACGAATATAGTGTTCAGAAGGATTTTTATAGTTGTGAATGCCTACATTAAAAAAGATCTCAAATCAATAGCCTAAACTTCCACCTTAAGACACTAGAAAAAAAAGAGCAAGCTAAACCCAAAGCAAACAAAAGGAGGTAATAATGACTACAGTAGAAATCAATGAAATAGAAAACTGAAAAGCAATTGAGAAAACCAAGTTGGTTCTTTGAAAAAAAAAATAACAAGATTGGTAAACCTTTAACCATACTGATCAAGAAAAGACTCATTAGTAAAATAAGGAATGAATGGGAGCCAATTAGATCACCTAGATGAAATGGACAAATTTGTAGGAAGGAAAAAACTACCAAAACAAACTAAAGAAGAACTGGAAACTAAATAGATATATATAGAGGTGCCTGGGTGGCTCAGTCAGTTAAGCGTGCAACTCGACTTAGGCTCATGTTATGCCAGACTCCTTGCTGGGTGTGGAGCCTTGCTTAAGATGCTCTCTCCCTCTCTCTCTGCCCCTTCCTCTCTCATTCATGTATGCACCGCTCTCCCTTTCTCTCTCTCAAAAAAATAGATATATAACAAGAGATTGAATTAGCAATAAAAAAAAATATATCCCACAAATAAAAGCCAAGGTCCAGATGGCTTTGCTGGTGAATTCTACCAAAAGCTTAAAGAAAAATTAATATCAATCTTTCACCAAATCTCACCTCCTCCTAAAGAAAAAGAAGAGGAAGGAACTCATTCAAGGAGGCCAGTATTACCGATACCAAAACCAAAGATATCAGAAGAAAATTACAGATCAACATAGTGCAAAAATTCGCAACAAAATACCAGCAAACCAGATTCAGCAACATATAAAAAGGATTATATACCTTGACCAAATGTGATTTATCCCAGGGATGAAAAGTTGGATTAACATCTGAAAAATAATCAAATGTATTACTGTATTAACAAAATAAAGGACAGAAACTACACAATCATTTCAACAGAGGCAGAAAAGGCACTTGAAAAATCTAACACTCTTTAATGATAAAAACATAGCAACTAAGAAGAGAATGTCCTCAAGCTATTAAAGGGCATCTACAAAAAACCCACAGCTAACATCACGTGTAATGAGGAAACACTGGATGCTCTTCTCCTGATATAAGGAATAAGACAAGGATATCAACTCTCTTCATTTATGTTCAATGTTGTACTGGAGGTTCTAGTCATAGCAATCAGGCAAGAAAATATTTGTAAAAAACATTCAGATTGATAAGGAAGAAGTAAAACTGTATGTGCAGATAATATAATCTTATATATAGAAAATCCTAATGAATCCACCAAAAAACGATTCAAACTAATTAAGTTCAGCAAGATTAAAGAATACAAGGTCAAGGATTAAAAATCAATTGTACTAACATAACATTATGTCAATTGTACCTCAATAAAAAAAATTAATTGTATTTCTATATAGTAGCAATGAGCAAACATAAAATGAATTAAGAAAACAATTTCATTTACAACAGTATCAAAAAGAATGAGATATTTAGAAATAAATTTTTAAAATGAAGCAGAAGACTTATACACTGAAAACTACAAAACACTGTTGAAAAATTATAGACGATCTTAATAAATGGAAAAATGACCCATGTTCATGGATGTGAACACCAAATATCATTAAGATGGTAATACTCTCCAAACTGAGCTACAGATTCAATCAAATCCCCATCAAAATCCTAGTTGTCATATTTTGATAAATCGATAAGCAGATTCTTTTTAATTTTTAATGTTTATTTGAGAGAGAGAGAGAAAACACAAGCGGGGGAGGAGCAGAGAGACAGGGAGACACAGACTCCGAAGCAGGCTCCAAGTTCTGAGCTGTCAGTACAGAGCCCGACACAGGGCTCGAATCCTCAAACCATGAGATCATGACCTGAGCTAAAGTTAGGTACTTAACCAACTGAGCCACCCAGGCGCCCCAACAAGCAGATTCAAAAATTCATATGAAAATGCAGTGGACCCCAAATAGTGCAATCTTGAAAAAGACCAAAGTTGGAGGACTCACACTTTCTGATTTTAAAACTTACTAAAAAGCCGCACTAAGCTAATTAAGACAGTGTGACACTGGAATTAGAATAAAAATGAGAGTATAGAAATATACCTTTGCATTTATGGTCAATTGACTTTTTACATGGATGTCAAGATAATTCAATGGGAAAAGAATATAAAATTTTTTTATTTTCCTTAAGTATTACATATAACAGACTCCGGAGTATGCTGTGGGTAGGCTTATTCTGTCCTCTTCACTGTCTGTGAACTCTTACTTCTTTTTAAACCTTTCTTGAATTTCCTCAGTATCTTTCCTACCATCTTTGCCCATCATATAAATACCTCAGATAACAGAATATGAATTGAGACCTAAAATGTTTTTTTCATTCTTACTTGTGAGCTCATCCAGTAACTGCCAAGACACATGATATACCTACCTTAGCTAACATCCCTCAAAGATTAGCATGATAGATTGTACCTGCTCTATCTCCAAATTTATATAAGTGGTTGCTGATTATCATCTTTAAGGGATTTTAGACAACCATTTCTTAGAGTTGGCAAAGTTCACCAGGCATTGGTTGCTAACAGTAGGAGTTTAATACCTCTGCAGATTCCAACATAAGGCGTTCAAAACCTCTAGGTTCGGGATTTAACCCATTCAGTAATTAAATTTAGAACTTTAAGCTCTTTTTCATTAAGAAATATATTATATTTAACACATTTTCAGTAAGCTTTCTCCTTGAAGTCAGGCACCAGTTACTAAACTAAAAAAAAAAAACAAACAACAATGTAATCTCAGAATAATAAAGTAAAACTGAAGAGCCAATCTTCAAACTCATTTAACTACTACCTCAACAGCAGATGGTAATCTGAGTTATCTGTAAATCAATTCTGTCTGTTCTTTCAGATGAGGGGTTTGAGCAGAGTCAGCCTTTAACCCCTTCTCAAAGGCAGAGGAGATCTCCTGGTAAATCCAGGTAGATGTGTTCAGATCAGCACTGTCCTGTGTTGCCTACATATAGCTACCTTCAAAACCTCACTGAGCCCCAATTTGCTCATCTGTAAAATAAAACTAGTCACCTGCTTCCCAGAGTTATTCTAAGTATTTAATAAAATAATGTCTTAAAGCACCCAACACGTGGTAGATACTCAACAATATTCCTTTCTCTTTGCTCTCCACAAAGTAAAATACAGGTCATAAATGGCAAAAAGTAAAAAAAAAAAAAAAAAAATCCTGATGAAAGAAACTATTTGGCTTAGTGTGTGCTGAAAAGAGCAGAATTATCTAAATACTAAAAGTAAATCAAACTTTATTTTCTACAAGCATCAAACTCAAACAATCTTAAGTAGGTAAATTATAATCATGATGATAAGATACAAGATACCATGGGGGGAAAATCAACTAATTTTCCACTAATTATGTTGGTATTGTCTAATCGTTTTATTAGGAAACAACTGAGTATCCAGTTGGCAGAATACTGCAGACATTTTCAGTTAACTGATTCAGCGAATAAGCCAACAATAACTTAAGATTTGGCTGCATTTGCAGTATCAGGATTTCCTAAGGGAAGGCTTAATAATGAATCTTAGCCACCACACTTGAGAGAGCAGAAGGGAACAGGTCAAGATGCCCGCAAAATACTATTAGTCCTTTGAGACTAGACTACACAAGGGTTCTTTTAAAAAAGATTTAAAAGAATAACTTTTTTGAGAGAGACAAATAAAAAAACAGACTCTTAATTATAGAAAACTGATGGTTACCAGAGGGGAGGTGGGTAGGAGGATGAGTTGAACAGGTAAAGGGATTAAGGAGTGCATTTGTTGTGATGAGCACCAGTGATGCATGGAAGTGTTGAATTGCTCTATTGTACACCTGAAACTAATATTACACTGTATATTAATTGGAATTAAAATTTTTAAAATAAAAATGTAAAATTGTGTTATTGGACATATGGAAAAGGGAAAACAGAAAAGGGTAGATCTATTTTCTGTTAAGTCAGGAAACCCATAGACATGATTTTTTTTTTAATTAAAAAAAAATTTTTTTTTAAAGTAGGCTCTACACCCAGCATGGAGCCCAATGCCGGGACTGAACTCACGACCCTGACATCAAGACCTAAGCTGAGGGGCACCTGGGAGGCTCAGTCGATTAAGTGTCCAACTTAGGCTCTGGGCATGATCTTGCAGTTCGTGAGTTCAAGCCCTGCATCAGGCTCTGTGCAGACAGCTCAGAGCCTGGAGCCTGCTTCAGATTCTGGGTCTCCTTCTCTCTTTGTCCCTCCCCTGCTCATGCTCTGTCTGTCTGTCTGTCTCTCTCTCTCTCAAAAATAAACATTAAAAAAAAAAAAAAACACTAAGCTGAGATCAAGAGACACTTAGCTGACTGAGCCACCCAGGTGCCCCCCATAGACATGATTTTAAAAAAGATTTTTATAGTGGGCTATATATTTACACGATTCTAACAAGAGTATACAAAAAATACACAGTGAAAAGTCTGCTTCCCATCCCTGCCCCTACCCACACAGCTCTCATCACCCAATCCCACTTGATAAAGTGTTAATTTCTTAAGTAGCCTTCCAGAGTCTGTCTGTGCTTAAGACAAGCAAAGCAAAAATACATTCTTATTCTTTCCTTGTTTTTCTATATAAAAGTAGCAATTTATAATACCATTCTGCATTTCAAAGGCAAATTTTTAATCCTAAATGTCAAATAAAAACAACAAATAAATTCAACAGGACAAGGACTTTTGTTCACACTTGAGTGGACTTTTAAAAGGAGGAACATAAATGATGTTAATGTCAATGGGAATCAGAAATAAAGGAAATCCAAAGGAGGAAACAAAATTCAAGGAGAAAAGGGGGCACAGTCTTATTAATCTCTTTAAAAATGTTCTCTGCTAAAACACACAAGTATCTTATCTTTCATTAATTAAAAAGAAACCATTTCCGTATAGACAAAAAAAAAAAAAAATTAACCAAATATTCATGAGAAGAGAAAAGAAAGAGGAGGGATAAAAGGAGATCAATCAGAAAAGAGAGGTACTTGTGTCAGAAAGGATTAAATGCCAAGTATGCACACATAGAACTACAAAAATAAGAACCACTTTTTAAAATTCTAGCAGTCTCAATTTCTTTTTTTTAAATTTTTTTTCAACGTTTATTTATTTTGGGGACAGAGAGAGACAGAGCATGAACGGGGGAGGGGCAGAGAGAGAGAGAGACACAGAATCGGAAACAGGCCCCAGGCTCCGAGCCATCAGCCCAGAGCCCGACGCGGGGCTCGAACTCACGGACCGCGAGATCGTGACCTGGCTGAAGTCGGACGCTTAACCGACTGCGCCACCCAGGCGCCCCTAGCAGTCTCAATTTCTGAATGTTTACTCACCTAGTTCAAATAAGCAAATGACATAGTACTTTCATGTTTAAGCCATCATCAATTTTAGCATCATGTTGTTTGAAAGCTGAATAAAAATGTCTTTTCACAACCTTTTTCATTCATATTTATGAAAATAATAGGCTTTTACTCTCAGTGTAGCTATTAAGCAACTATTGTCTTGGTGTGGAGCTCCTCAAAACATCTCGCCAAAGCACTTTTACAGCTGAGCTGAAGGTGGTATAAAGTCAGCTACCTGGGCCTGACTTGAGAGACTCTCCAGTGGCAACCTATTATTCTTGTAACCAGTATTGCTTCTTCTCTGACTCCCAAGGATCAAAGGCTGATCTATGCTTCTCACCAATGCATATCCCTGCTGATGAAAATCTGGAAGGAAAGGGTTTGGAATCCTGACATACCACTTTTCAAAGACAGCTGGCCTTTAATCTAAAATAGCTTTCTTAGTCTTCCACTTACTTAAAACAAAAGAGACTGTTTTTAAGCCAGGTATCTAGA